AGTAAAAGTTACTAGATTTTAAATGATGCTTATTCGTTATCTCGTTATACTTATGTACGGAATAAGTATTTATAAGATAAATACTTATAAAATTTTTAAATTCCGCTGCAATCTCTATTCCGTATGGTATATCGAACCCAACAGTGGTATCAGAGCCACGTTACAATTAGCATCTTTAAAATCAGATTTTGATTTGAAAAATTATTAAAAACACGAACTGGACTAAAAATCGAATAGAGTATTCGAAAACACGACTCGTGCAAGATGACACGACTCGTGTAACCGGTCGTATGAGGTCACACGACCCGTGTGAGAAAGTCACACGAGTCGTGTGACTGGTCGTGTCACCTCACACGAGTCGTGTGAGTTGTGACACGAGTCGTGTGACTTAAAATTTTTCGAAATTTTTCATAGTCACTTTCATATTTTTCACACGAGTTGTGTGACTTGTAACACGAGTCGTGTGACTGATCAGTGATCAGAAAAGAGCTGTTTTGACTTAATATAAGTCATTACTACATCAACATATTAAATTGGTGAATTTATATGTTGAATTCATGTGATGTATGGTTGATTTGGGGATGATCATGAGCCTTTTATTCATAATGATGAATGATTGCATTATTATTCAATATGATTGATGGTTGCATTTTTATTTAATGTGATTAAACGAATGTAATTTATGGAGACCTGCGAGTCTCTTGAATTATGATTTGTAAAATTTTAAATTTTTGTATCGTTATAAGATTAGATAAAGGTGAAGACCGTTCGATGCGAAAGGCCCACGCATGTGTGGGTAATTTTACAAGTTGTAAATCTCGAAGGCCTGTGCTTGTACGGGTAGATAAAATAAATTGTAATAGAAGTAGTTCTATTTATTTGTTTTATCATGTACATAGGCATAGACCCATTTTGGCTCGAATGGGTCGTATAGGCAAGGACATGATCATCCCACCGTATGCATGCATTAGATGTATGTTAGGTTTATTTATGCTTGTGATTCATGCGATGAATAATACGATAAATAAACACGTAAAGATGGTAATCGATGAGATCTAAAAAGAACCCTAAAGAATTAATTTGATTAATTCATATCAAATCAATAATGGATAAAAATAAGTTGGAACTTATTAATCCAGGCCTTCCATCAAAAGTAGACGACATGAGATGCTACGATGCTTTATCACTGACCATGAGTCGTGGAGTGGTTCTGTGTCGAAAGTTGTGATCCCTACTAAGTATAAGAGATACTCATGAGACAGATTCCTCTTTGTGTTGACCATGAGTCGTGGGACATTCTGGTGGGCCGTTATCATGAATGTTTGATGGATTTGATTTGACACTGAGTAATATATATGGTCATAAAATTGAGGTATATAAGGAAAAGTGAGGCAAAACATCTTGAAGGTTGTATAATGATACAATTGTCAAAAGTTGACTACCGATATAAATGTTTCATGCGTACTCATAAAATTGGGATATGGAATATTTTTATTGGACTTCAAGCCCACTATGAAAATTAGATTTTCATAATTAAAATATGGGTTTTAATTAAAATAGTGGGAGACATTTAATGTTAAAGACCTAATATTAAATGAATATAAATTCCATAGTCTGATTATTTTCTGCTTCGTTTGTTTTTGTAGATCACTCTACTAAAATGGCTAAGAATCCAATTGCAAGTATTCTTGAACAAAACAAATTAACTGGACCCAATTTGAATGATTGGCTGAGGAATCTGAAAATTGTTCTACAGTCTGAAAAGAGGGACTATGTATTGTACAAAGCCCCTCCTCCTCCACCTGAGGATCAGACTTCTGATGAGTATGGAGAATATTTACTTCATACTGATGACAATCTCCAAGCACGGTGCTACATGTTAGCATCAATGTCAAATGAGTTACAGAGACAGAACGAATTGTTGAATAATGCTTCTGAAATCCTCTTTCATCTACAAGAGTTGTATGGTGATAGGACGCGGTAAATTAGATATCAGATATCTAAAGAGCTTTTTAGGTGTCGTATGACTAAGGGCTCTTCAGTTCATGATCATGGGCTGAAGATGATAGCTCTTGTTGAAAGGCTTTCGTCCCTTGGAGTCGTTATGGATAATGAACTCTATGTGGATCTTATGCTGCAATCTCTGCCATCGTCATTTGATAGCTTTGTTGTTAACTTTAACATGCATAATATGGAGACTTCTCTGCCAGAATTAGTGAACATATTAAAGACGGCTGAATCCACAATCAAAAAGGATAAGCCGGTGCTTCTTCTTGGATCCACTTCTGGATCAAAGGTTTTAAAGTCTAAGAAAAGGAAGGGGAAGGGAAAGGTTCCCTATAAACCCAACAAGAAGGCAAATAACAACAAAGGAAAGAAAAAAAAGAAGGTTAATTCTCAGTCTAATCATGAATGTTATCATTGTGGTAAAACTGGG